AGCTGAACTTTTACAAGGTGTACGGCACTTGGTGTTTTATAGCGAAAGAGCAAAGAAACAGCGATCGGAATTACCCCGATTTCACCGATACCACGCGGTCGGAAGGCCGCGATTGCTCGCGAGGCCGTGTTTACGCTACCTACTTTGAGCCCTGACCTCCTGAGGCTACCATGCCCCTCTGCCTGAGCTCCTATTCACGCTTATATTACTCTCACATTTATATCATTTCAGAATCACATTCCATACCCCACCCAGGTTATTCCTCATCATTACCAGCATCTAATTCTGAAAGATCTTTAAAATAATAAGTTACGTCCTGAGTAGCAAACACCATTTTCCGTGTGCGTTTTGTCTCAGTCGGGCTAGGTTTGGGATAGGGTCTCACTCACTGGTGTATCAGTGGCTAGGTATATGGGCAATTTTACGTGCCGCCGATGTACCAGGGGCTAGGGCTCAAAGAGTTAAGCAAGTCAGAGATGAAGAAAGTCTCTGATCGTTCTCCCTGTTTCGTTTTGCTGTCTTTGTTCCACTGTTTACCTTTTTTCATCTGCAGGAGCTGCAGGGTAGACTGACGAGATGGGAAGTCAGTGACAGCAGTGGGAGCCGAAGGCCGCAGTATGTTTGCCCAACTTTTTTTTTTTTTTGGGGGGTGTGATACTGCCGATATGATAACTTTGCAATGGCATATCAATATATGTTTCCATATACCTTGTTAGCGTGTGTGGAACCCTCTTTTTTCCCCGAATCTTGTATTGTGTCGCTTTTCTCAAGGGCCAGTGATTTTATTTTTGTTGAGTTTGAAAATGTAAATATGGAAATGAGATTTACTAATTCAAACTGTAGAATTTATACTTTCGTTGTCTGCAGTGTTTCAGAAACATTTATTGGCCTTTTGGGGAAAAGAATTCTTGAGAACGTATGTTGATTGCTTTTACCAGTTTTCATGGGGCTAAGTATGTGGCTCATTCTAATGGTTATTAGAACTTATCTGTCGTGAGTTGCAACCACGACATCAAACTTCAATGAAAACTTTGCTTTTGAAGAATTTGAACTTGTCAAGGCCGTGTGATATAATCTTGAGGGTAACTTGACGAAAAATTGGGTCTATTGAACAACTGCTTTACTTTTTTTGCCAGGTCTCCAAGTTCTTTATCAAGACGTGTCACGGAACTGGAGACATCTCAAGCATCTTTGACCCTTAAGGAAGGAGAACTGCAAACTTTGTAAGATGTCTTGGATTGGTTTTTGTCACATTTGTAGAGCTAGTCAAGCAGTTTATGATTTTTTCTGAGAGAAAATTTTGTTTTCTTGTTCTTTCATACTTTTTGCCTAAATTTATGGTTCAGTAATATGGGTGGATCTATTTAAAGTATGATGAAATGCAAGATGTTGCTGTTTTTGTTTTCATTGTCATAACTATTGCCTTACAACTGAGGGCTTGTTGATGGCCCATGAAATGGACTAAAGCTTCACAATTGCATTCGTAGTGATGGCATTTATGAAAAGTGCCTGTAAAAAACATAAATCTCTGAATAAAGCCCTAATGTGAAATGATAAAATTGACATTTTGTTCTATTTGTTGAATTTGCTAATAATAGGGAAAAGTGAAAGTCTAAAATATTCCTTAAGTATTGTTAACAAAATCTGAAGGAAATTTTGTTCGTGTGGTTTTACAGGGCTAACAGTACGAAGTTAAGACTGGAACAAGCTCAGAACGCAAACCAGAAGTTATCAGCTGAACTGGCAAAGGAGAGGAACCTTGTGACTCAGCACAGTGATCTTATCAAGAGACTGAAGAGAAAAGTCTTACTGCTATCTAAGGTGAAATTTGTACCTTTGATATTTTTTTTAAATTTCATAAATAGACACTCTAATAATGATTTTGTTTAATGCTTGTCGGCTAAGATTAGGATGTGCTTTTTTAATTCCTCCCTTTATAGAACTCTGAAAATAGCCTATGGCTGTGTGAAAGGACAAAGGTATCACACTTGAATTGAAATATTAAGTAGCAAGTAAATATATATTTTTTTAAAATTTGTTTTTGCTAGCATCAACTTAAGTCTGATATAAGATATTTTAAAAATGTAGAAACCCTTTCATGCTAGTTTTCTTGTTGTGTGTTTCTTTTTTTATTTTGAGGTTTAGTATTTTGTTTTGAGGCAGTGTTAGTTTTAGGTGAATTTAGAAGCTGGTCATGTTGTTTGCAAGCTTTGCACAGTACAGGGAGTTTGACATGAATTAGTAGACGAATCACTTTAATCACTTCAGTACTAACAAAATATATTGCTGTTATGCCTCAGGAACGAGACAGTTACAAAAGTCTTCTGGATTCCTATGAGAATGAAGTGACGTGCAACTTTGATGTCCAGAAGCAGGCCCACACACAACGGCAAGAGGATGTACTGCAGAATTACAGAACGGAAGCTGCACAGCTGGAGGCAGAGATTAGTCGTCTGACAGAAAGACTAGCGGAGACACAGCAAAGACTTGATGCTGTAGGACGTTTTCTCATTGTTTTGGGGTTGGGGTCATTTGGGGTTATGGTGATTGTTACATTGTTCAGTACAAATTCTTTTAGATGAATGCCAATGGGCATAATTATGAACCTGCAAATCTGAAAAACATTTACCCAAAATGGATGATGTTGAGGAATCTAATAATAATAATAATAAATAACATTTGTATAGTATAGTGCATGTCCCCACTCAAAAGCAAGCTCTAGAGATTATCAGTTTTCTGAGTGTGTTACACTAAAATGGATAGGTCAATGAAAATATTGTAATTCCCTTTTGGTAAATCAAATGTTTGGTGTGATTAGCAATCTATATTTTGAAGAGTATTCTGTTGATTTCAGATATAGATATAACATTGGGAGTTAGGGTCATTAACACATTACACCCTAAGGGTCTGGACAGGAAGTCCATTGTTAGATCCTAAGCAAGGGGAAGGAACCCACCTTCCGTGAATACATTTAAAAAATACTAAACAAATTTTTAAAATCCTGAAAAAAGAAAAGTTAAAAAGAAAAATGAATGTACTTTCAGACGGGGTGTCCGACCCGTCACTCTCACTCTCAGCCTCGCGGTCGGGCCCTAGATCTAAATTCTAGATTTTCTACGCCTGATCAATCTGAATCGCTTCAAACTTTTGCTACAACGTTTTCATCACAATCTGAGTCGTCCGATTTGTTATATACTTGTTTTTGCTCAAATACATCGTTATTTCCTTTTTCGAACTCAATTGTGTTGCTTTTTAACAAGTCAAGATACCTTCGAAGTGTCTGTAACGCGATCCATTTCGATGGGCTCGAATACTAAAACTACTTGCCCGAAAAATTTTGTTTCGGTATCAAACGAAAGAAGAAACTTTTTTGCAATAACTATGCAAATCAAAATCTCGGCCCCAGATTCTCGTCAAGGCGAGACTTTGTTTCTAAAGACAATAGGTCGGCACGGGCGGTTCCGGGCGAGTCAGGGTGGACCACGTAAGGGAATTCCCGGGCGAGTGAGGGTGTAATGTGTTTAGTGTTTTCTAAGTGATTTGTGGCATAGGGAGTGGAATCATGTTGTAAATTTAAACTGGTTGTGTGTGGATAACCCTTGTGGTCTTGGAGACAAAAAGAGTTTTAAACAACTCTTATCTCAGTCCAAAGCAAAGGAAAGAAAAGTTTCGTTTTCATACGCTACTTCTCGCAAACATGAATTTCTGCTTGGCCTTTGGGCCAGTTGTTGCCCTTTGTGTAGAAGATGTGTTAAATGTCTTGATGGAATATATACAGAGAGTAAGGGGAAATCAGTTGTTCGTGTGTATTGGGGTGATGATGCTTTTATTGATGTGAAAAAGAAGGGTGTTGAAAGCATTATTCACAGTACATTGATTTGTAAGCAACGTTGAGTAAACTAAGGTCCCTAAAGTTCACATAAGAATACTTTTGGTAATTCCTGAGGAAATAAAATGTTTGGAAAATGTCCCTCGTAAATGTGTATAGGTTTCAGTGGACACTGGAGCTTAATTCTTACTACAATGAGTGCACGTATTGCAGGGATATATCACTATTTTGCTCTCATAATTTTCTCTTTTGTTCTTATGTGTCTAGGCTCAGCAAGAACTGCACACGTTCAAGTCATCAGATAAACACTCATCTTCTGTGCGGCACGAACAAGACATAAGAAAAGCGCGGTAGGAAATAACACTTTTATTTCATTCTATGTTTGTTTCTTTCATACATTTACCTTAGAAAAGTTTATTATACATATATCTCTTGCGTAGGACTTTTTCCATAGCTGAGAACAATCTTTGCTGATAAAGACGTTACATATAAAGTGAAGTCTGCTCAAACCGAAATCTGCGGAACTGCTTAAGAAAGGTTGCTCAAATAAAAAGAAAAAAAAAATCTTGGTATTTGATTTTCTTTCAGTTTACCACTGTTTTCAGATTGACAGTATTTGGTTTAAGTGGGCTCCACTGTACTTGACCAATGGTGCTGAGAAATCGTTTACAGTCTACGTAATGATAATGTTGATTAGTGCAAATTTCAGTAGCCTTTGGGGAGCGGGGTGGGGGGGGGGGTGGTGTTGTGATTTTAAAAAATAAGATAATAATTTATTATTATGTGATGTCATACAGCTTTGGAAAGGAATGTCTTGAAAATGCACATTTGGTCTTGTTACTGGATTTTTATCTGCTTTTATTTTTCTTTAAAAAATGATCTTTTTTAAACTCTTTTTTTATTTAGGGAGCAGGTAGCTGAACTTGAAATCAAACTAGCAAAGGTTGAAAGTGAAAGAGACATCCTGGAGGCACGTATTGAACAAAGGCATCTACAAGTAAGATTTCTGTTAAGCATTCTTTCTTTAACTGGGTTACAAAACAGTTTATTAGAGGCTAGTGACATAAAACTCCACAGAGTGAGGAAAAATAGTTGTGAATGTAAACATAAACTTGCAACTCATTGGGGGGAGTCAGGTTCACAGGGTGGTGTTCAATGTCATCTAATCCACTAAATGCCATGAAAGTAGGGGGAAGCTTTGGCTTATAATGGATCTAATATTCCTTGAAACATTGACATGTGAAATGGGTTAAAGTCCTAGATTGCAAAACTGAGACCATCAACATACTTTAAGATGAACCCTTCTGAGGAGGGGCGAGGAGTTATGGATAGAATCCATCCCTGAAGACTTCAGTTCTGTACTCAAGTCATTTCAAAATATCGATATTTAGTCTGATGATTTGTTTGAGAAGTTTTTATGATAGGTTCTTTGTACCATAATTGCGACAAGGAGCTATAAATAGATACTAGGTACCAGAAACTAAATTTTATAAGTTGCTGTATGCCAAACTTATCTGTTCCGTATGAAAGGTCTATGTCACCTGAGAATTTAGGTACAATTCTTTTACCTCTCAGTTAATTTGTAAGAAAATGACAACTGTTTTAAATTTGATAAAATACTGGTAAGTCACTAACTGGCTGCAACCCCATGTTTGACAGACAATAAAAAAGTTCCAAGTACACCATACAACTCCACATTAACAGGGTATAATCACTATAACATAGATATGGAGCCTAATTTTTTTTCAAGACTGTAAGATCATTGCAAATTAGTATTTTACTGCCTCAAACATGATGATTTGTCGTTATTTCGACATACAAAAAAAATAGCGGTCTCGGCCGGTACTACGCTGGCCCCTGTGGCGAGCGAGTTGGCTCTTTCCCGTAGTGTGCTGGGTGCTCCCTGTGTGGGGGGTCACATGCTTTCGGAGTTTTGCGGAAGGATTCACGCAAAATAATTCCAAGCCGATGACTTTATTCTAATAGAAAATACTGATCTTTCCATCAGTACCTTTTTTTTAGCCGATATTGTACATATTTGATGTTAAAAATGATCTTTGAAAACTTTGACGTAATTTTTAAAGGCTTTCTATAAAAACGCCAAAGGGCAAAAATATACCACATGAAAGCCCGTTCAAAGCTCTAAGTTCTCCGGAAATGAAAAGACGGTATTTAATCATCAATCTTTCTGCGAAGCATTAGAATGTATGGGTGTCAATTTTTTAACCGGCCGACCACGCATTCCGACCTCGAGGGGCTTCGATTTCCTCGACGATTCTTCAGCTCCATATACTCGGATATATATAAACAACTTACATCACTGTAACAACGAAAAGCTGACTTTTTGACGGTGTACAGCGTTTGATGTTTTATTGCCCAAGAGCGAAGAAACAGCGATCTGAATTATCCCGATTTAACCGAAACCACGTTCTCAGAAGGCCGCGAGTGCCCGCGAGGCCGTGCTTACATTACCTAGTTATACAAGAGAAAAGAGTATGTTGTAAAAGGTTATGTTTCTGCTCCTCAGGGGGATTATGATCCTTCGAAGACCAAGATTGTTCATATTTCTATGAACCCATGCGCAGTGGCTCAAAAGACTCGACAGGAGGAATGGGAAAGTCTACACCAGGAAGTGGAAATGCTGAGGAAAAGAAATAAAATTCTGGAAGAGCAAGGGGGAGAAGTGGAAGACCTCACTATTCAGGTGAAGGAGAAACTGCAGCATCCTTCACCCAGCAAAGAACTCGAAGGTCTGTGGATTTCTTTGGAATTTTTGTCAAATGAATGCAGCAGAGTCTGCTTTAACGTAAGCCAAATATGGTTAATCCAAAAGCAGCAAAAGAACTGAAAGAAAATAAAATCCCTGATTTTTTTCTTTCTTCTGTTTGAATTTGAGCAACCTGTCTAAATCAAAAACTTAGCAAAACCAAAGAAAATCTAGCAGTCCCACAGATTATGGTTTAAACAGACTCTACTGTATACCTGTCCCTGTCGTTTTATGCAAGAACAATTCTGAAATTATGCAAACAGCCCAAAATTGTGAAATTATGCGATTCTGTTAATTTTAACAAAGAAGGATAAAGGAAAATAATCAGAAATTATGAAAAAAAAAGATCAAATTTTGCTGAATTATGCAGGGTGCATAAAGTCACGAGGACAGGTATACAGAACATTAGTCTGAAGCGGTCAGAATTGGTTGCTCTTTTTATCTCAACCCTGCTTCTTCTATCATTTTAGACTTTGTGACAGGAGTTTGCGGAGAGCTTTTCAAATATTATTCTTTCCTATCATAATTCATTTTTGTTTTTCAACTTGTTTTAGATATTGTAAATGGTAAAGTGACCTGATTTTTAGCTAAAAGTCTTACTGTGAATTGTTGGAGGGCACCACAGGCTGGTCCTACTTTTCATTACTACGGGTGTATATGTTGTTTTGCTGTTTTACTTACCACTCAGTTGATGTTCTTCTATTTTTTACTTTCGAACAAACATACATTATAAAGGTCTGTTTCCTCCCATTATTTTTTTTTCTATTAACTTGTTGTCAAGAATATTGTCTGTTTTTCCGTTTGAACCAAAGGCATGGAAATACTTTTCCATCTGAAGTGTGAGTGCTTTGTTTTCTCTCAAATGATTTTATCCTATTCATTTTGTGGGAAAGATTGCTTCCTTATATGTCCCCCCACCCCACCCTCCCATTGCTGATGGCTTGACAGGGTGGTTGAGGGCACTTTCATTTCCTTCTGCTAGTTTATTTTATCAGATTTCTTTCTTTGCAATACATCAAATGCATTTGCATCTCAAAAGTTGTGAAGCAGATGGAGCATTACATGTTATTTTCAGACTTGTTACAGTATGTTAATGAAATGTCTTGATTTTTCTTAGTGTTACATGTACAAATCAATGAAAAACAGGTCTTGTAGAAATTGTGTCTTATATGTAATCCATTCTAAATAAGCTAGTTAAAATCTTTACTACTTCTACAAACAAAATTCCAAATAGTAAGTTTTTTTATCCAGTCTAAAGTGAGCATTTTTATATTTGATTTGAGAAGATAACTAGATCTAGATAATTCAGAGGAAAGTTGATAAGTTTTTATTATCCATATCCTGTAGTGTTTCACTCCGCTACAGGGGTGCTGGGCTGATCGTGGATGATGAACAAGACATGTAACATTGACACTGATGTAGTGTTTGCCTAATATTTTTCATCAGAATCGTATCGGTAGAGAGCATCATTCTTATTGAAGAAGATATATAATATAATTACTTAGAAACCTTAGGGTTTTCATTTTTTGTGATCGATATTGGAAGGTGCTAAACGCAAGATTGAAAAGGCAGTGTGAGATGAGGTACGAGGTAAAACAATTAGTTCTCTCATTTACACACCATCTCCCCCGATCCCCTAATAGAAGCATTTCAAAATCTAGAAAAATACTAACTGGAATGTTATCTAGCAGGTGCTGGCCCTTTTTTCATTTACTTTGCTTTCCATTACCAGTATACTGATTAATTGGTTTGTATTTTCATGGAAGCCTCTTAAAAGTAAAAGTCACCAACTTTATGATGCAAGAGTAATAAACACCATAGATACAGTACTGCGGTGTGTCACTCATTTCCATGCAAAGAATCTTGTTGGGCACAGATGACATGACAGTGGAAAACTTGAAATCATGGATAGCTTGTACAATTTGCAATTCCCCAACTGACTCAATCCCGTGACCGAGATAACTCGGTTCTATAGTTCTGTTCCATATATTTGTTATTTCGTTTCAGAAATGACCCCAAGTTTTATATAAAGTCTATTTATTATTTCACGGGACAATTCTGCCCTGAGGGGTGCTGGAATTTTGTTTCTACTGTCATTACACATGGAGAAAGCGCAGTCTTTATGAAGACACTTTCAGCATGTTTGTTCACACTGATCAGCTGAGCATGTCTCGCAATCGATTCTCTCTGCCTTTCTCAGAACATGGTTAGAGAGCAAGAAAGGAGGTGAAAGGAGACAATTTTAGAGAAAAAATTTTTTCGGTCGCTTCCTGGATTCGAACACCAGGGACCTTTAAATGAGAGCCAAACACCTTAACCTCTAGCCCCCCCCCCCCGACATGTTTGTGTTATCTGTGCCTGGTTGTATTTGTTCTTATTCTTTTTTTTTATTGAAACAGCCAAATTTCATACAAATTCTCCTTTTTGGTTTGCGTTGTTTATCTGAGGTGGAGAAAAATAGGCACTCTAGCTGAAGCTGTGCTCACAGTTTGAGTGTGACCCTTGTTTTTAATTTTTACAGAGATGAAGGCGCAGGTGAAGAGAGAGGAAATGAGAAACCAGCGTCTCATGGAGGTCTTCAAGAAGACAAGCCAAGAATTTCGAGAAATTTGTTACCAACTAACTGGGTACAAAATAGATATACCCTGCTCCAACCAGTATCGCCTCACCAGTATGTATGCAGAATCGCCCAGGGATCATCTCCTTTTCCAGGTTCGCCAATTTTTGTTGTTGTCAAGGACTGCAGGGGTGGGGGCAGAAAGCAATTTCATGCTTCATTTAGTGTGTGTTCATACTTCTGAACTTAAACTTTGTACTTACTTTCTTACTGACTTACTCTCTCCCTATACCGTCGGGTACATAAGACTGAGAGTAGTTGATGCCATGCTTGTCTGTCTCTGGCCACTTTCTCCAATTTCGGCACATCTAGGCCCTGGGTGATTGCCTCATCTCTTATGGTGCCTCTATAGCTTCCAGTTGGTCTTCCCCGCTTTCTGTTTCCAGTTCAGTTTCCAATGCCATGTCTGATAGGCCAATCTTACAGATTGTAATAAAAGCTTGCCAAAGCATTGTCAAGCACTTAAAGATTTGAAAATGAAATTTTTGGCAACATGAGTAGTTTTGATGTACATCCTTAGTAGTGAAGCCAAAAAATGAAGTGTTCCTGTTAATACCTTGTGACATACAGAAGTCTCTGCCTAAGATCCCACCGCTTATGGTCCTGGTTCGCCTAAGATCCTGCTGTTTTGGAAAAACAGAATATTTACTATATATAAAAGTCACCCCTAAGATCCCGCACTGAAAGAGCTATATTCAGCTAAGATCCCGCTTTTCAGGTCATAATTTAGTTATTTTTATTCTTTTTTTAAGAAAAAAGAAGAATAAGAAACCTTAGCGCGCTCAGCTGATCAACCAAGAAGTGAAAATGTGCGATCATTGTACGGTCCGTTGCGTCACGGTCATTCACTCTTCTGAATGCGATCACACCTCTGTTATAAATCGCGATAAGAGTTAACAGCGTTTACCCCAGACGGGTTCGCACCAAGGTGTGAACTCGTCGATGCCTTGCTTTCCCCGATTACCTGAGCCGTCCGCCTGATCTTACATCACACACTAGGTGGGGAGGGCCTACAAGCAAGCTCGGACTGCATTGCATCAAACTGTGAACTCGTGGACGCTTACATTCTCCCGACCATCGCTCTCGTCTTTCAATTTTGCGGTCGAACTTCCTAAGCAGACTGGCGCCCATACTCGTGAACTGTCTGATCACTTCTGCATAATGGGGTGATCTGTTGGGAGTGAAACTGCCTTTCATTTTTTAAAAATTTGGTCGGTATGATCAAAACACAACGATTTATGATGCATCATGACATGGGTGGGGAACTCCGTTAGAGATGGAAAGCAATTAATTTTTGGTGGGGGGCATTGCTTGAAGCTAACTGGTTCCCACCTGACTCAGTATTTTTTTTAAAGGCCCCCCCCTCCCCAAACAAACAAAAAAGGAAAAACTGACTTCTGAAAAAAACTTTTAGTGCCCAGGAGTCACGTCAGTTCTTTTTAAAGTAAGGGAAGATCATTGTACAGATTATGGTCCTGATCATGAGTTACTGTGGATTCTTCCCCCTGGCCATTCGGCTAAGATCCCGGTTCGCCTAATATCCCGCATTTTCCTTGCTCCCTAGCACCGGGATCTTAGGTGGAGACTACTGTACTTTCTTAATGACAGTTCTCAAGAAATTGATGGGTGCTTCAGAGAACTAGAATCAAGCTCAAATAAACCCGACGATAATAAGGCACTAGTCAGCATGTTCAATGAAACCATTCACAATAACGTTTGTTTTTCTTAGCTGAAGCTGTGCCATGGAGCATTTTGAAATATCGCTCAGTTATCAAGTTTAACACTTGCAAGGAAAATTCCCTTCACACATTTTTCAGGAAATGGTCCAAATTTATGGCGACAAATGTCCTCGATATAATACTGTGACATACTAGGAAAGAAAATTAAAATCTGGATTCATATCAGTGATGGATGAAGAATGTGAGAGTTCCTATCCTTTGTGGTAACTGAAGAGAATGTCCATAATGAAGAAACTGGTTCTACAAGATCGACGTATAACTGTTAGACAGCTCTCAAGTAAAATGAGAATCAGTGCAGGGCGAGTGCAGGGTCCATTGAAATGATTCTCTATGACCATCTTAACATGAATAAGGTGTCTGCACGTTGGGTACCCCACCTTTTGACAAGTGAGCAAAAGAAGCAGAGGGTTAACGAGTTGAGTCCAATGACACAAATTTCTTAAAAAACATGGTGACTAAGGATGAAACATAGATGAGATCTATCATTTTGATCGAGAACAAAAAAATGTCCTTCATGCAATGGAAAACGCCTCTCCAAAGAAGGCGAAGGTAACATAGTGAAGTGGAAACGTCATGCTGTCGTGTTTCTGCGACTGTGAGGTTATCATCATGACAACCTGGAAAATTTAAAAACAATCACAAGAGACTACAACTCGGGTTTGCTGATAAAATTGCGGTCCGAATAAGTGGGAAAAATGCGTGATAAACTCTGTAATTGGGTCCTCCTACTGCAGGGCACAACAAGCAGTCCTGACTAAAGAACAGTGCGGCTTTGAAATTCTGCCACACCCACCTTATTCACCAGACATAGCCCCCTCGGGCTTTTTTCTGTTTCCAAATCTAAAAAAATCAAAATGACATTGTTTCCATGACAATGAGGATGCCATTGAAGCTGTTGAAGGCTGATTAGGGGCTGATTCTGAGTCATTTTTCTCTCAAGGACTTTTGAAGGTCAAAGAGAAGTGGCAGAAATGTGTTACTCTGCATGGCAACTAGGTAGAGAATTAAAAGTATATGTGCCAAGTTACAAAGCTCTATCTTTATTCCTTCATATAAATTAGACTAAAGACTTCCTGAACCCCCTCGTACTACAGTGAATTGGACCCGAGTGTTAAATTACACACTTACAAGTGGCATAGTAGGCCTACTATTATTGATTAATTTACAGCATAACATTCATATATGGCATACTGTATCAGGGAAGAAGAGAGGGGACGGGATGCTTGTAACACACTAGTTACTTGCATTGCTCAAACATGAATTCACTGGTGTGGTGTGGTTTGATGGTGGGGTCTTTACTCTCCTTCAAGCACTGAAGAGTTAAGATTCTTAAGATTCTCTCGCTACTACCAAGGTTTCTTATTTCTTATAGCATGTCTCATTCTTCCACTGTATTGTGTACAGGAGAGGAAAAAGAATTTAAAATCTTTATTAATCCCAAGTTTTTATTATTCCAGTGGTTATTATGAATAGATCTCACTGTACATGTACTCCTATTACTAAATACATTTGTTTGTCGTATGATTTTAGATCTTATAAATGTTTGGTTAATATTTTGGAATGCACGAGCGTTTATTTTGCATGTAATTGACTTAAAATTAAATTTTGTTCTTCAGCAAAATGCTCAAGGCGAAATCCAGATGCTCGAGACAGATTTCTCTACCACTCTTCAGGAAGCCATGGAGTTATACTTAAAGAGGCAGCAAAGCATTCCTGTCTTCCTCAGCAGCATTACAATGGACTTGTTCAGTCGACAGACTATCCTGACGGAGTCGTTCAGTGATAACAGATAGATTTACAAACCTTTTTTTTTGGTCTCATTTACATACTTACTACTCTGCTATGTCATTGTTGAATAAAGAAATATGAAAATGATTTAGAAAAATGATTATGTCTTGTTATGTCATATTTGGTGGTCATTATTTTGTTTGTACTTGTAGTGTTGTTCTAGAGAACCCATTTTCTGTAGAATTTCTAGCATAGGCAACTAAAGTGCATTGTCTCACAAATCTACTCCAAAGAGAGATGTCGGTGAGGTTTAGATTTAAACTGCAATCTGAAGGGAATCCTTTCGCTTATTGCAGATTACATCTCGGCCATTGGAGCTTGATGCGTGCTCTTAAGGGGTCTTTTACTTCAATTTTACTCTTCAAGTGTCATCTTGTTTCCTGACAAAATGTGGGTATGATTATTGTAATTGTAGAAGTTTTGAGGCCCCATCCACACTATTTAGATCATTAAAGATGCTAGCTTCTTAGACCCTGCTAGTCAGAGCCAAACTGGGCTGAATGGGAGTTATCATCCCAGCAGAAAGTCGAAGATTACTGATTAAAAACTCCCCACACATGGCAACTGAACTAGCACCTCTTGTGTGCAAAAACATAGCGCCTGACCACTCTGTAAAAGGTAGCTGACTTTATAATGAAACAGTGGCATATAAACATCTGGATGAATTAAGGGGAGACGTACACTCCTGGAAAAATTTTCTTAACGAATGACTTTTATTCACTTTCATGTAATTGTGCAAGAAGTTCATAGGTAAATAGGATGTACTAGGGGTGAATTCGTTGATTTTTTCTGAAAAATGGGTCTCTGTGGCCGCCATCTTGGATTTTCAAACCAGTTTCTTAGTACAGAAGAATTTCATAGTAAATATTGAATTATCAGCCTGAAAATTGGCACTCAAGTACAAACCTATATGGACTGGGGATCCATGTGAGGAATTTGACCTATCTTTAAAACTAAAAAAAGTCAGCCCAAAGTCAATGGACCCCCGAGAATCAGTTGACGAAATTTTGGGGTACATTACAAAAAATTTGAATATTTCCACAAGGTACCAATATTTCCCAATTCCCTCACATAGATCCCCAGAATAGATCTGAAAGCACCTGTATGCCAAATTTGAAGATTCTTCTAGCTTCAGTAGTTTTTAAAAACTCCTTGCACCAAGGAGGTCACATATGTCAAAAAGTAGATCTTGAGAAAAACAGAAAAAGCAGGGATTCTTAAAAGGATTTTTAGTGCAATTTGCACTTTTCAAACGCCCTTTTAGGTCATTTTGGGTGTTTTTTCAACAGTTTCGTCATTGACACCCGATAGAACAGATGTCAAAGGATGTTTTTCCGAAGAAAAAAAAAGTTGGATAGTTTGAAAATTTTTATCGATATTGTCTGGGATCGCCGATCTGGGTCTTCCCTTAATGCAGAAGAAATGATTCAAGAAGGTGATGAAAGCTACACAGATGGTTCAGGTCTGCTGTGCCTGGCAATCTAATTGAGATAAAAAGAAAACTACACAGTCGAGGGCCTACTGTAAAACAGAACGCACATTAAGTAGACGTTAACAATCCAGAAAGTGCAGAAGATTCAGATTTTTTCAATTTGTTGTTTTTTTATTTCTGTAAAAAAAAAGTAGATATATATGAGAACACTGTCACACTTGGACATGCAAAATTCATGTTGATAAATTCAATACTGACACCAGACAACCTCGCATACACCTTCAGATCATTATTATTGAGAACCAAGTGCAAATCACAATATTCTCAACAAACAGATATTGCATACATACAAACCTACTGAATTAACTCTTATCGCAGACATTTAAAAAATGAGTACTTTTTCTTTCGACGGTAACGAGCAGTTGGATTTATGCTGTACTGCAGTAAGGCACCATTGAAAATTATGAAAAAAATATTTTTGCACTTACCCAACATAAATTCAGAACAAGAAGAATTCTTATTATGAACACACTACATTTATTTATTAACATTAACAATATCCCATGCAGGTACACACATATAAAAACTATCAACAAGGGCATGCCACTATCATAACCTTGCAGCAAACAGAAAGATGAGATGGATGTTTGAAGGAGTGAGGGCATGAAACAAGGCTCTACGAAGCAATAGAACCTGTAATTTGTAATAACACAACGCAATACTACAACAACCTATCTTCAAATAGATTATTATGAGTAATATAAGGGTTGGAATTCACATCGTTAACAATACAATGTAGGCCATTTTTTTAAAGTAAGGACAAACTGCAGATTAACACTTTGTCTCCTAAATATCACGGTAGAGAATCCCAACAGAACACACAATCGACTTCAGAATCTGACTCAAACTTTGATTATAATCCAGTGTTTTACTAACTGAACAAAACAATGCACCCAAATAGTGTGCTTCAGTTCAGGAAATGGAATGTCCATTAGAATTCATGTCAGTGAACTTATTCACTCTCCCTCATTGTCTTGAACACAAATGTTTTACATGATCTGTCTCAGGAATGTGAGATGAAGGAAATGAAAAGACGCTTTTGATGTCATCTAATAATACAAACCCTTGGTTTATGCTAATGTGCAACTGGTGGAAATCTTTCACTTTCTTCACTCTGGCGGCTCAGGCACATTCTTTTACGACGACTTCGACATCAAATTACTTTTCGCAACAGGTCTCTTTTATCGGGATTTCATTCATTAGATGAAGAACTATCAAAATAGGTTCACTTGTTTTGATTTAAAGACCAATTTAGTTGTTTTTTTTGGTCATTTTTAGACTTAGTACCAAAAAAGGGCTCCGGCATAGTCATAGTGAGCTTACCCCCCTCGGAGATAAAGAGTTAATACTAATACTCAAATGTTATAAGTAATAAAAAAAGAAGAAAATTAATTCTTTTTTCTTTGGCATGTCAAATAATGACGTAGCAATTCAGAACTTGTAGTAGGGGGTTTGAAATCTTCATCTAATCCACAATGGGTACATATTTCACTATGTTTAAGAGAAGTTAGTCTGGTTCATTGCCAATACAGTGGAATCCTGTTATAACGAGAGGGAGGGGACCGGTGCGAAATGTCCGTTATAGCAGGATTCTCGTTACAAGGGATCCAGTAATAAATTCAAGGGAAATAGTAAAGTAGGCCTAATCTATCATTTGGCGTTCTGTTTATTCCTTTTTGTATTTCCCCTGATGATGATTTGTTCAACATGATGTCTAGGTCTTACTTGATCAAAAATCGAATCAGGTTTCTTTCTCTAGCACTAGCAATGTTGACAAATCGGCCTTGGCGATCAGAAAGAAGGGGCTCTAGCTCTAGGGTAACTCGCCCGCTGTGTTGTCCCCAACCCCACCACACACTGTGATGCGTTGCGTCTGCTCGCGCACGTCATACATTCATTCTGCCTGTGTCTGCGCATGCCACACCCTCCCCACTCATTCGCTCCAGCCTTCATTGTTGGTTCACGTGGGCTCTCCCATTCCTGGTTTCCCTGGATCACTGACAACTTTCTCAACTGGCAAAGTTTTATAATAATGTTTAATTGGTCTGTGCGCTGTGCACAGCGCAGCAATATTCCGTTATAAACGACTCGCGTGACGGTCTGATTGCGCAATAGCAGTATTTTATTTACAAAGATAAAGAAGGGAAAAAAATGGGGTTTTAGAACAGTGTCTTTATAACAGACTTCTCGTTGTTTCAGGACTCGTTATAAGTGGACTCCACAGTATTAGTAATTTATACTAATAATGGAATCCCCCTTTTTTTTAAAGTCACAAACAACGGACACCAGGAGGCTGTCTTGACCTCAGGTTAAATTTCCATTTATTACACAATTGGGTTGTCGGACTACGACAACCATTATTTTTCCAACCTATCCTCCAAGTCCAACACTGAGAGCAAACATTTGTTTGTGCAATACATGAAACATGCTTGATGGTCTTTTCTAAGACATGATGTAAAAAAAAAAAACCTCGGCATGAAAATGCATTCACCGTAAAACAACCAGGAGCAAATGTTCTTGTTCCATGAGAAAGTATTACAAAAACTATGAGATGCTGGCTACATGAATCATGAGACCACTTTAGAAATATTCAAAGATGAAATTAAACTGGGAATAGAAAATATTCACAAATGAAATATGACTATTTGCTTTTGACTAGGTTGTCTTTTTAGCAGAAGAATGTATTAAATCAGAACACATTTCTTTTGCACTGATACAGTCAACCCTGTAGTAAGCAGTGCCAGCCATGCTTATTGCTAGGTTTTGCCAATTAACAAAAAGGAAAAACTAATAAACACACTATTGCCCTTACAAACTGCCATCCACCTACTGCCCGAGTTGTATGGTCCTTGTTCATTTAAATTTGTCCTGCAAAACTGTCATGAGTGTTCATCAGTAAACTAGCTGCCCGAGGTACCCACTGCAAATGGTGCACAGTGCCCACTTGGCAGCTGCAGAGTGATAATCTCGCTTTCTTCCACACGTGACTGCAAGCTAGCAATCGCTAAATACAGGAAGCCTGAAGGCCATCTCATTAAGTTTGAGACAAACGAATATACAGGGCTGCCCACCCACCAGCACATGTTTTAGCATTCAACTACTGAAAAATTAAAATTAAAAACGCGACTCAAGAATTCTTAAAATGACCATGGAATATCTTTTTCCCTGGGGACTCAAGGATAGGAGTAGAATGTTCAAGGACGAATGTGAAGTAAACAAAGGCATGATGAAAAAGGTCTTGGCCAGCTGGATATAAAGGGGTTGTGGGGGGAGACTAGCTCCTTGACTCTTGTAAAAACAAAAGAAACGAACAGGATGTGTAACAAACCTTTGATCCTGATTGTGCATCAAAACAAACCATGCCATGCACCGCAGTTGATTGTTTCAAACAGAGATCAATTTATAAAATGTTCTCATTAGCTTAGGCCACCACCAACAATGCAAAGCGCAGGAATGTTTAACACCATGTCAAACTGTTTGCCTTATTCCTGGCTTTGGCAAAACTAATGTTTTTCTATGTTGAAATTGGTCAGCTGCATGGGACATAAACCGTATAAATCTGATTAACTTTCTTCCTTATACTTATACTCCAAGAGAATGGGATGGGGTAGATGCACAGCAAACAAATTTTTAAAAAATCGGAATTGGGGTAGTTACTATAGTAATTGCCAAAGATAGAAAAAAAAGTTGCAATGATTACGCCAAATTCGTAATGATGGGCATCCTTTGAAATAGCTCATTATTGTAATATTGTCCTTCATCTAGTCATGGCACCATAATTTCCCTTGACATTGGGCAATCAGTGCTATTTCAAAGAGGGCAGCATGACAGTCCAACTGTACTGCCTCCTTTGTACTCGTCCCAAGGTTGGCGGTGTAACAGGGTTTGACTGTACTTCAAAATTTGCGTGATCCTGAGAACATAAGGCCTCTTTCAAAACCATTTTAGGATCATGTAATAAAGCAGACTCAAAGTATAAATGAACACTAGAAGGTGGGTAGTTTAACTGAAAGATCAATTTTTCAATCTGAAATATACAACAAAACACTTGAAAAGAGTGCTAGTGCTAGGTGAAACATTTTTGCAGGTTGAAAATCTGTTGCCAATATTTTTGGAGGATCATTCTAAATTTTCAGATTGTTGACATTAGATCGTACCTATAAGTTAATCAAGCAGAATTCACAACATTCCCTTTTAAATAATGTACATACTCTATCAAGCAAATAATGCCCCCAGTAAATGAGTAATAATAGTATTATACTATGGCGTGGAGTCCGCTTAAACCAAAGTCTGTGGGACTGCCAGTTATTCTTTGAGCTGGGTTTTCAATGTTCGTATTCGGTTTAAGGTACTCTGCTGTATATATATATGATATATAATACACATACACACGTAGCTAGATATTCTCCCTCCAAACACTTACTTATTAACAACTACCTGACACAAACATGGTTTGATTGGGAAATGTCACTTTCTCGAATCTGATGATTCTATTGTTATCATTGAAAAATGAAAACAACTATCCCATTGCTCATAAAATAAATCATACATTCTCATACAAGGGACTTCATCTCACATGACAAATTTTCATTTTCTACATGATTAATGTCACCACTAAAGACTGTTTATATATATAGAACATTTTAACCATGAAACATTCAACATCACAAACACAGAATACTACGCACAAAATCTTCAACTTGCTTACATCATGCTCAAATACCTAGACTTCAAATTTCAGACCAGAACAAAATGAACAAACCCTTACTCATACCCTAACAAGTTATCAATAGCACAAATTCAAGAAAAAGTTTCACCTGGGCTTAGCAAACTGGATGGTATGATCTCAGTAGAAGGTAATAATGCAACAAATTAACAACCAAACAGATGTGTTCATATACAGTAAAACATTGCTACATTCCCTGAAAATTCGCTTGATGAACACACTTTACATTTCGTACATAATGTATTGTCATTCTGTTGAAACTTTCGCGGATAAAATACGCAAAAGAAACATTTTTTAAACATTATTAATAATGTACTCGACCTGTCAAAAGATGATAAATGGAAGACTCATCATGACTTTAGCAAACATCAAAGTCACACAACATTCTTGTAGTTTTTAAAAATTGTCAAGTTACATTTTAGTAGCTTTTTTCCCCTCTCTAAATAAACCACATTCTATCATGTACCGTCTACAATTTTCCAGGTCGTGATAGCAAAATATCTGTTTGACTTTTGGCATCTGAGAAGTCTCATGAAAACTCCTCCACTTCATCAGCAAAACGAACTTTCTTTTTCTTCTTCGGTTCTTTTTTGTCCTTTTTCTTGAGACCCTCCAGAGTAGACTTGCGGAGCACATCGTAGCGGCCGTATTCCATCATTTTTCCTTCCCATGCGTCCATATCTTTGAGGTATTGGATTTTCATATCATGTGATATCTGTTTATATTTCTGAAAAGAAAAAAAAAGAATTGAGAGCATATTAAGCTCAGATCTCACTCAGTCAAAATTAACTACAGTCCAATCTGTAGCGTTGGTGGCCTCGTGGTTAGGCTCTTGGACTCGCAACCATAAGGTCGTGGGTTCGAATTCTGTCCGGGGGCCCGACATTGTGACCTTGGGAAAAGCAGTTTACATGAATTTTCCCCACTTCACCCAGGTGCGATTGGATACCCAGCTATAAACAGTGAAAGATCTTGTCAGTTTGCTAGTGTCTGAGCACTTATTCAGCTGCTTGCACAGTACTGTTTACTTCCCGGGAAGCTGGGAATGTTTCTGAGTGTTTTGTGGTTTGCTGGGGTAATAATATTGTGTAAAGCGCATAGAGCTTGCTGTAGAGCGGGGGTATGCGTTATAATATAAATGCTATCTATTACCATTATCTGCTGCAACAGCCATCTGTTGAAGACAATTGACCACTTTCCAGTCCCCCCTCATGTTTTTCCTACATTATACTGTCCAAGAAATCTACCCATCTAAGACAGACACTTTTCTCCTCGACACTTGTTGGCTGTCTTGGACAATTTTGACTGAGCTTGCCCACAAAGAGTCGGTAAAAGGAAACCACTGGCCAGCTATTTCTTAATCTGTGGTACTGGTAGCAGGTGCTCAAGAAATGTTTAGTCAAAATTCAAATGCTAAATGTTGAAGAAGGCTAGAAAAGACACATACTGAAGGCACAATTGCAAAAAGAATAAAACAATTTTTTCTCTCTCCTGAAAATTTTGCTTCCTGAGCTTAGTATATTTCAATAGCTTGCAGAAGAAATGCAATTTATGACATTTTTTCAAAAGTCCAGACTACGCACAGAAGCGGTTGAACTTCACAAAACAGTAAACAATTCAAATTGTATAATTTGACTCAAAATCAGCAATTTCAAGGGGCAACCTTATCTTTAAACTTCAGATATGACGAAATTAAAGATCAAAACAAAATAATTATTTGGATGAAAAGTTCACTGTACAAGTATTAGCCCGATAAACCAGAACTCACCTCTTTTTCGCTTTCATCAAGGATTCTCCATCGATCACTCAAAATCTTGAAGTATGTCTGAAAAAAAAGTAAAAATATAACAAAAGTAACGTATCAGTAATGACAATCAAAGTCAAGACTGAACTTTCATAAGAGTTGTCTTGAAGGATAAAATGACTTAATACAATAAAAGAAACATAACATAATCTTGGATACCAGCCAAGAAAAAAAAATAACAAACAACAAAAAAACCTATCTAAGTTTTGCACAATTTTATACAAAGGAATAAAAATATTAATATTACATTGGAACTAAACTGGAAATATAAATCTGACAAGATTCTGAATCTATGGAAAAAGCTGTGTGTAAAACATGATAAATATATGAATCAGACATAAAATTCATCAAACAAGGTTGAAAAATGAATCTTATCTCAGCCTCAAAATAAACAAAATACATTAATTTTTCTTGTTATTTACATTTGAGAAAATGTTAACTAATGTTCCATACACTATTTAGGCAAAGGAAAAATTTCAAGCTGCAAAAAAAATTCTCATCAACAGAGGTGTAAAAAATACACATCACAACAGACATTCTTTTCTCTGAAGTCAACCTAGAATGTATTCCCTCAATAAAACTCTCTTCCAGATGTAAATTACATGGCAAAAGCATGACATAGCTACTCAAAGCAGACACTTGGTAACTTACAAATCATAATTTTCAGTCACAACTGAGCTTTATGCATTATTTTTGTTTCCAAGTTCTATTCAATCATGTTACTTGTAATCTATCTTCTTTCTCTTTAAAACACAACATGTCTGGAAAAGAATATATTTCAGATTTGACTTCATTAAAAAAATGACCCCCCCCCCCAAACAAAAACAACAAACAAACAAACCAAGCAAAAACAAAAAACATCCCACCCCCCCAAAAAAAACAAAAAAACCCAACAACCCCAAAACAAACTCAACTGCGAAAAAACTTGCTAAAAATCAGGATGGACAAATGAACATCATATAGAGAGGTTACTTATATAATTCTGATAAAAGGGGAATCCTGAGCAAGTTAAAAACTTTCGGAGTTCCAAAATTAAATTTGAAGTCCTCAGGCTTATTTACAATGTTAAGCAATACAGAAGACGCTCACCGAAACACTTTCATCTTCCCTTTCACCAAACTTTTCTGAAAGAAAGCAGTTGAATGGTGGCCAGGGTTTGCTGGGCATACCGAGTGATCTTCTCGTCTGGAAAGTTATGAAAGTGTACAAAGCAATAATTACACACAAAAATAACTTCCTTTTTTAAATGAATAAATACATTTTTTTAAAAATAAATAGATAAAATTTAAAAAATTGCCCCAAAAGTGGAAAAAAGTTTTTTTAAGGATTGTAATAATTTTGACGAGCGCCTGATTTCACCACAATGTCACACAAATCGAACCAAGTTCCATCATGACAGAACGCATTGTTTAAGATTTTGCAACATCAATGCTTTCTTTTCGTATCTCCATTTTTTTTTAAACAGTGAAAATGTGGCTTCCTTCTTCAGCTCACTCTCTGTTATGAACTGTTTTCACTGTTATTAAAAAAGGAGATACGACAAAAAAGCAGAGGTCTCGATTTGTAGTAACACACAGTAGTCTAATACTGAACTAACTGCATAGACGGCTTATTTCCTGTTTCAATGTTAAAATGGCTTGATTCTAGTATTCATGTAAGTTCCATAGTTTCTTAGATTTAATTCTGTTATTACAATCAGCTCTCAGTTTCAAGTACATCGTACTTGTATAACAAAACTTAGGCACTGTTAAATAAGAGCTAGTTCTTTACTGCCTTCTAAAGAATACATCCACATTATCACTAATAGCAACATCATTCATGGGGACAGAAGACACAATAAAACCTGCTTATTTTATAATTTGTCTAACAAGTACACTCAACAAATAGACCTGCCAACCCATTCATAAACAAAAATAGGAGTTTTTATTACAATCTTCCCTAAAAATTGAGGTATGAGGGGAAAAAATCAGTCTTCTGAACATCAATAGATTTAAATTATGTTACAAACTGATTGTAGCAAATAAATATATGTATTGCAACTAAATGCAAATAAAAATTTGTATTTTCACATATCAACGATAAGTCACACAAATAGTGCAGATTAATAATAGCAAATAAACCTGTGTATTTTCATATCATTTCCAATGAGTTGCGTAAAACTGATAGAAACTGAATTTTAAAAAAAAAACCCAAGGATTTTGAGCTAATCTGATCAATGTTTTTCCATAATTGAAAAAAAAAATCAGAGGGCTTTGATTTTATCCCAATACTTGGCACATCTGGAAAAATGTTGTCTTTTGATGAGGAAAGGCTGTGACAGTTTCTAATATTAAAAACAATAGCCAGTTAAAAAAAACCCAGGAACAATAGACCTCTAAGGTTTTAAATCATGCTTTAGAGCAAGACACAGGAAGCGACAGTTGCATAAATAAATACATTAAGACCAGAATTGACAGGAACATTGTGCATCAAACTGAGAATGAAGTATACTTTAGAGGGATAAATGATGAGACCTACCAGTTTCATTTTCTTTGCAAGCTTTTTTTGCTTTTTTGCCTCTTCTTCTCTTATTTGCTCCGGGGTTATGTTTTCCAGGTACTCTTTCTTTTCTTGTTTGTATTTTTCATACAGCTGTTTCCTCTGCATGGCTATTTTCTGAAAAGCAAAATTTATTTTTAAAAAATAAATTATTTCATAATGCCCAATGTGACGCAAGCCGTAGATTGACTTTTCAGTGGAAGAAAAGTATACCAATATGTACATTAATAGCTCTATTCAATGACTCCCCACACCCCCATCCCACAGTTTAAGCTAACTCAACTAGGTTTTCTCCATTCACTTTGAGACCTGGGCATTTTTGTATAATTCTAAGGATTGCGTCAATGTACACACACATGTATATATATATATATGTTAAAGAGGTCAGGTGACAAAAAATATCCTTACCTAACTCCTCTTTTATCTGCTTATATTTGTTGTATTCTCCCTCAATTCTTAGGAGTGTTTTGGTCCCAGTAACAAATCCCTAATAGTTCTTAGATCCTTTCCATTAATGTCTAGCCCTTCCAAAATTTTGAATACTTCACCATATTTAACCCTTCCAGCCACAGTCATTTTGTGCACTCCCTAACCTCAGTCCCAGCCAATACAGCAGTATTTCAGAAAAAGAGACATACATTCTAAAAAGCGATGTAGTATCTTTGTAATGAGGTATAGATTATAACATGCGACAAAGTTTAAAGGTAAATGAAAAAATATTGTGAAAATTAAAGTTTAATTATGTTAGCTAATTTCGAAAAATGTGCAAATTTGGTATCCCCCGATGAGAATATACGCTCTTGGGAGGGAGGGAGGTACAAGCGCTGCTGAAAATACATGCGTATGGGGCAGGAAGGCTTAATCATATCAAAAGCTTTTGAATAATCAATGGAGCATATGCAGCGTTCTATGAGTTCCTTGGGATAATTGGTGGGATTTAGGGTGCCTTATGTCGCCAAAATGGTCCCTTCTTCAATCAATCACTTAAGGTATTTCTTGAAGCATCTATGCCACCAGGGTTCTCCTCTACTCTCCACAGCCGTCTCACATTTTGTTTGCGACTGCTTAATAGCTGACCTCCATATATGCAGGTCACTCCCCTATCCCAGGGAAGTGCTGGGTTGGGTATGAGGACCATACTAAATCTTCAGTACCCCCCCCCCCCCAAATTCCAATAGTTATTAAGCAATACAACAATCAAAACCCAAAATGTGAATATATTCACATAAATACAAATTAAACTTACCGACATTCAAAGCACACACACGCAAACACATTCACACATGCATGCACCCATTCACACAAAGAAAATAACACAATCTTCACACAGTTTTTGATCCAGCCGTCAAACAGCAGCAAAAAAATACAAGAAACATTAAGGTATGAAAAACTCACAGCTTTTTCTTCTGGATCAAGCTCCCTCCACATGGCAGCAGCTCGACTGACTATTTCTTTTCTACCAATGCCTGAAAAATTACAAGAAATAACACCTTACTGCACATAAAACTTTCAAAACTCTGAGGACAGAGCCTTCATGAGTGTATGCAAACTTCCCAAAATTTTATGCAAACTTGTTTTCAGTCTATTAGTTCATTTGAATGGTGTTCTTTTGAAATACATGCTAATTACAGTCGAACCTGCCTTAACGGAATCTCCCCGCTCCCCCCTTGATATATTCCTCTTTAATCACGTGTATAAAACCTGCCCAATGAGGAAACGGAAATAAAAATCCGCTCCTTTCCGAGGGTTTCACCGGTCTAAGACAGAAAATGCTTTGCCCGCTCAACCCTGATTCAAAACAAAACTCGCAAGTTTGGTTCCGCCGACTCTAAACTTAACGCTATAGCCATGCCGCTGTGCGAGGAAAAGGAGTAGGGGTGCAATTTGGGGATAGATGTTACCCCATCATGTGAGCCCTGAGCGATGCAGATGGTCAGTGTAGTGTGGGTGTGAAATCTCATGACTTCCCGTGAGAGTGCTCGAGCAGCGAGCCACTGCAGAAACTTTCCTAGGTAGCCACAAACCAGAGGTGTGAAATTAGATTGACCAATGCCTGCCGCCCTGATCGTACGGCCAGCCGAGAAAAGAGTTCCTCGAATTGTTGTTATATGATGGCAGTGAGGGGTGGCATTGGTGGGTGGGGCTAAGGGTGGAATCAAAGGAGATGTTCAAACGTTTCTGTTTTAAATAGGGTCCAATGAAAGGCTAGCACTGGTGGTAATTGGAAGTAAGACTGAAACATGTCATTATCAGACAGGATAGCAATTGAGAGGTATGAAGTTTTGACCACTGCTTGCCGATCGGTCAAGCGATCCTTGATCCCACCAGCGGAGCCTTTGAATCCCCCCCCTCCCATCTCCCCCTAAATTCCCGTCTTAGACGGAATTTTTTTCTGGCTCCCTTTCCGTCTTACACAGGTTCGACTGTATTACATTACCAGCATTTGACAAAGACTAAAAACAAGGAGTGAAACATGACTATTTTGTGAAGTGACAAACAAAATTTTTTAGCTTTAAAAAGTTAGAAAGGTACGCAAAGAAACTGTAAATTACAGATCATTTTTCACTGTCAGGATTCGAACTCCAAACCTTTGGAATTTGGACTGAGAAGTGAACACTGTACCTCTAGACCACAAGAGCCCCCACTAGTAGCCTCTGAACCAAAAGTAATTGCAATTTTCAATTTGGATTTATACACACACACATACACCACACACATAAAGATAGACAGAGAGTGAATCAGTGAGTGAGACAGAAAAAGAGAGAGAGGGGGGGGAGAGAGAGAGAGAGAGGGGGGGAGAGAGAGAGAAAGAGAGAGAGAGAGAGAGAGAGAGAGAGAGAGAGAGAGAGAGAGAGAGAGAAAGAGAGAGAGAAAGAGAGAGAGAAGGCTCTCAGCTCTAATTACATGTCATTCACCAACGAAAAGAAACTTTTGAATTTGAAGCACAGATCATACAGCAGAATCATTTCCTTTTGATGTAGGGCAGTCTTGACTATTTAAAAGAGGACACCATTAGAACCCTATAATAACGACAGCCCTGTGAAGTTAAACCGTCAACTTCATGCTTGTCCCAAGGTAGGCGGTAAAGCGAGGCTTGACCGTACACTAAAAAACTTTTATTTATCATTTCATATAAATATGAAGATACAATCAATGCAAAATTAAGGTTGTGACAACAGACATAGCAATACATTAACAAAAAAGAGTTCTTAAGACCTAAATCATGTACCTGGATCCCCTCTCACAATTTGAGGTTCCACTTTCTTCATGTAAATGAAAAACACATTAGCAGGCTGCCTTGGTTTCCTCAAAGGAATTCTCGGAGAACTTTTGTCTGTTTCAGGGCCAAAAAGAGACCCAGACCATATGGTTCTGTGAAGCACATATCCACTTTGATTTCCTGTGACTTGGGAAATCCTGAAAAAAAAAGACAAAAATTATTCCAAAACTAATTTTGACTTCAGAGAGTAGAAATAGAAGTAGAATCTAAGTATTGACATACATGTAAAAATAGCCTAACCACAAAGAAAAGCAATTCTCAGCCAGTTTTTGTTTTTTAATTTTAAAGGTATTGAATTTAAGGTTGGCTTAGACACTGCAATTTTGTAATTTCGAAAAAAAATAAGTATTAATATACAGTCGAACCTGCCCTGACGGCCACCTCTATAAGACGGCCACTTTCCATTTCCCCCCTTGCGTTTTTTCTATATAATTTAACTGTGTAAAACGGGCACCTGTCCAACGCGGCCCCGGCCACAATAATTTAACACACAACCCCTATAATACTAAGCAATAATACCTGTCTCAGACGGTCACCTCAGTGACTCCATTACGTTTTCTCATAAATTGTGCATTGGTCCCTGGCGTTGTGGGCGAGCCGTCATAATTCAATCACCTATCGTTGTTAGGTAGTCCCTCCAACCGATCATGTTGCGTAGGCCCCTCCTACTGGTGACCAATAGCTACCAATTTTCAGCTGCTGGTGAGGTAAGCGTGTGATCCCTCATAATCCATAAGCCCCGCCCAGAACTCATACACAAATCGTAAGTGAGATGAGTGGTTACTGATTACCCAGTCTGTAACAAAGTAACAAAGGACGTCAAATTGAACTTGTTACAGAAGCGTCCCTCGTTCTCCGAGTGGTGGCGACCCATGTGTTTGTTTTAACATGGCACTCGGTCTTCCTTGTCCAATACATTTCGTTTTATTGTCACCATTGTGCAAAATCAGCGACAAAATAAAAATTACAAGAAATTCAAACCAACAGCAACAACACCAACAAAGACAACAACAATGGGGCTACTTTCGATCGGGGCCTCAGATGGGAATGGTTTGTTTCTTTTATCTTGATCAGTCCTGCCTAAGACGGCCACCTGTCTTATACGGCCACTTTTCTCTTTGACAATGGGTGGCCGTCTTACACAGGTTTGACTGTAATTAAAAGTTATAATAATACATTAGTATTAGCCTTAGCTTTAAAAAAGTTCTGACAAAACCATAAGGCCATTCAAGTTGCAGCTCCTTTTGTTCTCCAGAATGAGTTTGAAAAATTTCTTTCAAACTTTTCATGTTGAGACCATCAGAACACGATTGAAACTGATGCGCAATTAATATTGCAGAACTCAGTATCTGGGCGAAAAAGATTTTACCCAAAAGTCTGTTGTCTGAATGGACAACAGTTCACAATTTCTAAACTTTCAAGACAAAATGAGTATGTTCATGGGGTTAACCTTGGCTGTAGCAAGTCCAAAAAAATGTTGCATTGCTGGCATGGGGTGCGATATTGCTACACAAATTCAAATCAGTATAAGACTGTGTCATACACGAATGTCACTTTTCAAAATGGTGTAGTATAGCATAGCGAAATCTTATTGTAGGCGATGCCCATTGGAAGATTGGAAGGAATTCATAACAAGCGACCACTATGAAATAGAAAGAGGATTACGGTTAGGGTTCAGGCTAGGGTATAGAGTTTAGGGTTGGGTTAGGGGTAGAGTTAGGTAGCAATACCACAGCTTTTTGAAAGATGGGTACCACTAACCTATAAACAACACAAGTACAAGGATCAATAATCCAAAAGTAAAATGCGTTTTACTTTTTCAAAATCTGTCCATAAATAAAAAAGTCATAGCTGTGTACGTGTCGGAAATTGTGGGTATTTTAGAGAAAATTCCTATAGAGGAATAAAGAATAAGTGCAAACAGCACCAGAATATTGAAAACCAACATTATACTACACAACTTTCACATTTATAAATGGAATGAGCTGAAAATTGGTAAGATTATGTTTTATGGGGCAACAAAATAGAAAATGGAAGACATAAATTAAAGTTGTAATCTCAATGCCATGTAAATTATACGCAAATAAATAATTAAATATGCATAATTATAGAAAAAAAAACCGCCAGTATATGGCTCAATAATAGACATATGTCCATTCGGTTATTATATGTGGATGTATAGGCCTACAAAGAGACGAATTTAAAAATGTGACAATTAAGGTTTTAAAAGTTTGAATTTGTGCATATATAATTAATTAACCAAATTGAAACCTGTAACAGCTAAGAGAGTGGGTTATTATATAATATCAAGTTCAGTTTCTTTAAAAAAATTATGTTTAACTTATAATTGAAACTATTTTTTTTTAGGTGTTTTATGGCGCTGGCAACTGCATAAGGTCATTAAACATTTTCAGTTGGTACAAAATTTTGAATTTTGCTCGGGTGGCGGCCCAAGCCTACTCTTATTGATTTTAGACCATCAAGGGATCTTTAACGTGCGCAACTTGCACACGGGATCTCCGAGATTTTTCGCCCTTGTCCGAAAAGGCTAGGTGTAGATCTTTCCTACCAGCAGATCAGGAGTGTGGCTGAAAGACAACAGTAAGAAGGAGCCAAGGAGTAGCAGTAGAAAGGCTGCAGAAAGAGTAGATAGCGTAATTACGGCCTCGCGGGCATTCATAGCCTTCCGAGCGTGTGGTATCGGTGAAACAGAGGTAATTAAGATCGCTGTTTCTTTGCTCCTTCACTATAAAACACAGAATGTAAAAGTTCAGCTTTCCCTCGTTTCAATGGTGTAAGTTGTTTATATGTCCGATTGTTAAGAGCTGAAGAAGCGCCGTGGAAAGCGAAGCCCCTCGCAGTTGGAACGCGTGGTCGGCGGGTTAAAAAATTGACATGCGTGCATTCAAATGCTTCGTGGAAAGATTGATTATTAAATACCGTCTTTTCATTGGCAGAGAACTGTAGAGCTTTGGATGGGCTTTTCCGTAGTATGTTTTGGCCTTTGGCGTTTAAATAGAAAACCTTTAAAAATACCGTCAAAGTTTCAAAGATCACTTTTTAAATGAAATATGTAAAATACCGACTCAAAAAGGGTAGCAATAGAAAGATCAGTTCATTTTCTATTAGAATAAAGTCATCGGCTTGGAATTATTTTTCATCAATCCTTCCACGAAACTCGGACAGCATGCCACCCGCCACGCAGGTACACTACAGTATAGAGCCGACTCGCTTGCCGCGGGGGGGAGGGTTGTGCGACGCTGGCCGGGTCAACGCTCTGTGTTTTTGTTGAAATAACGACAGCTCATCATGTTTGAGGCGATAAAATACTGATTTATAATGATCTTACAGTACAGTCTTGAAAAAAATTATGCTCCATATCTATGTCATAGTGATTGTACTCTGTTAATGTAGAGATGTTTGGTGCACTTGGTACTCTTTTATCATATGCCAAACATGGGGTTGCAGCCAGTGAGCGACTTTAACAAATTTGATCAAATTTTAAACATCTACCATTTTCTTAAAACTTGACTGAGAGGTTAAAGAAGGGTATCGAAATTCTCAGGAGATATAGGTCTTTCATAGGGAACAGATATTTTTTTCTGCTGAAAACATTGTAAATACTAGAAGAATAAAATATGCAGTCATCTTGAAGTCCATATCAACACTAAATTCACGTAAAACCGAAATTAAGCCCAATTATTCGTGACGGCAAATAGAAAGAAGCCTTCATTACGTCCGTGTCTATGAGTACGGTGTTTTTCATGGTATTCAGGCCAATCAAAATAACTGTCCAATCAGCGGCTACGCTTTAACACAGCTGTGACATCACAGTGAGATGGCGGCAAGCTTACACGTCTCAGGGCAAGCATTTCCTGTGTGCGGCAGTGTTTCCCTTTCTGGCTTTCGGGCCACGTGAAAAACAGGAACGACGTCGACGTTATTTTTTTCAAATGCGATAATTTCACAAAATAGTTTCTAACATTATAAATAATAAAGTTCAGTCTATCTTGGATGATGCAGGAGCACACATCGACCTCACATTTTCGAAAACAATGTCCTCAAAGAAACCACCTTGTAACTTTTTTGTTTCCAGCTCGATTTTTCTCATTGGTTGCCAAATTTGGGGACGATTGGGTAATATTTAGATGGCTCCGCATCTTTCCGAATAAGGAGAGTCAGAAAATCACGGTGCCTTTTGGCGGGTTTCAGTCTTGCTACCGACCCATCCTCTTTCTTCAACAATATCTTGGCTGTTGCTGAAGATACGGGAAACATTTTATCTCCAGTGAATGCCTCAATTTCTCCCGCATGTATTGGTGTATGGGGCTGACGCTGCAAATAATAATGCTATAAAATAGCATGTTCCCTGGGATACTCCTAGCTGGGGCGAGTCTATCCCGTTTTCGCACTGCCGGCGCGGGACATGTGGTATTGCTGGGGTAGGGGTAGGGGCGTCTTTGCTGCAATTTCCGAGGGGTTTATTGTCTTTGCGTTTACCATGTTTCAATTTCAAGTTGAAGCAATAGCGTTCTTACTGTTCTGAGCATCAACAATCTAAGCAATCTTCCCTCATGTTTAAGTGTGAAGTTTTATCGTGCGAAACACAAAGATACGGATAATATGTCAAGCCACTGACCCAACATGTCGTTCCATGCGGTGTCTCCAAAGATTCTCTACTCCACGGCCTTCTAAAATATTCTGTGGGTATTCCAGGATGTGATGACATCATATAACTAACATTAGCAGCCAATCAGGCAGGTGCGTCGTTCTACGTTTAGCCGCATGTAAACAATAGAGACTGAGTAGGCAAGGCAGTAAAGCCAGATCAAGTAACATGTAGGTAACGAGAGCACACTACACCGGATTTTGATTTGCTGAAATTAGCAATTACCACGAAAATCCTTTTTTTGCCAGAAAGTATTTGCAAATAGGTGCATTTTGTAGCTTTATCTTCACAAAGCATGGAACTTTTTGAATTTTTGAAATCCATCAATAAACAAAAAAGTTACGGATTTTTTAATCAATTAATTTCTGGTACACTTTTTTAAATGAAAAAACCCCAAAATATGGGACGTTCTTTGGTGAGTTTTGAGACAATATTCATCATAACTCGCTCATTTCTCTGAGTATTTAA